ATGGCCCAGAAATTGCATGTCTTTCATGAAACAATATGTAAACATTTGAGGAATATGGGAAAACTCCATAAAGAAGGTGTTTGGGTGCCTCATGAACTCTCTGATGATCATAATTTCCAACATGTGAACGCTGCTTCATCTCTTTTGGAGCGTAAACCATTTTTGGACAGAATTGTCACTGGTGATGAAAAATGAATTCTCTGTGTGAATATTAAATGCAAAAAACAATGGCTCAGTTATAGACAAAACCCACTTCTGACCCCAAAACCTGGACTCCATCCACAGAAAGTGATGCTTTGCATTTGGTGGGTCATCAAAGGAGTAATTCATTTCGACCTCTTCAATCCACAGTGAACTGTCAATGCAGAGATCTATTGTCAGCAACTGGAACATTTAAGTCAAGCCCTTCATCAGAAATGCCCTTCACTCATCAATCGGAAAGGTGTTCTTCTTCCCCATGACAGTGCATGTCCACATATGGTACGTTTGATGCAACACAAGATTATAGAGTTGGGTTGGGAAGTTCTCCCCCCACCCACCATATTCTTTAGATATGGCACCATCAGATTACCATCTTTTTTAATGGGAAAACGTATGCAAATGTGGAAGATGTTTAAGAGGACTTCGACATGTTTTTTGCTTCAAAGCCAAGTGACTTCCTTAATCAGGGCAATAACAACCTGATTGTAAGATGGAAAAGCATCATCGATAAGAATGGAGACTATTTCATTTAATATATGTTTTGATATATAAGTTCAGGTTTTTTCATATAAAAAAAGTGGCATTAATATCTTGTTGACTTAATACATTATGTACTTACTCATTTAAATTAATAAAAAAACAAAATATTTACATCCAAAATGCTAAAAATATTGGAGATATCAACAAACAATTTACACTTTTGAAACACAGTTCAGCCTAAACTACATATCCACAAAAATAATGTGCAAGAAAGGTGAATAGTTGTAAAATTATAATTTAGTAATTTTGAATTTGATTGATAGATAAAAATTTTATTGCAGGTTCAAACAAGAGCACCCTCATATCATCTCAAACCATTAAGACTTCAACTAGTGAGTAAGAAGTTGGTAAACAAGGTGCTCTACCTTGTGGAGTACTTGGGAATTTTCAATCAGTGTACCAAGTCTTTGAAATTTTCCCTACAAACCTTGTCATTTTCTGGGGACAATCAAAGAATTACATGCTGAAAGTGCTAACAAGATTTGCCAAATTGTTTTCACAAGATGGCCTTTTTTTAGTGAAAGGCCCTTAGTGGTTGCCTGGGGGCAGTTATTAGTTGTCTTGCTGCAGCTGGTGCAGAGCATATACACTGTAAGGTTGGGCAGTGTTACCTGGTCTCATGACACAGATGGCATCTTACAAATGTGTTATGATAACACACTTTGTGTGTGATGCAGTGGGTGTTTTAGAAATCTTGTCAAAAGTCATGCAGAAGGAAGAAGTCACATACACAGCATTCATGCCACGGGTAGATACTGCCAGACTTGCACTAAAGAGTCTTCTTGTATCACCAGCCCCTCACACTAAGCAGGTGGTAGATATAGTGCCAGAGGAAAAAGTTCCAAGCTGCTGCTGAAGCATTTCTTGTGGAACTTTGTAACATGCTTGCTGTTACCTTTCATGACAGCAACTGTATGATTACTTTTGAACTGCTAAGCCCAGTGCATCATTTAGCAGCAGCTGGTAAGGATGAACCTGAGTTCAAAACTTTGCTTAACCCTTTCGAGACAGGTCACGGGTGAAAGGCAATGTCATCTCGTTTGTTGACTCCCATTCAAAATTTTATTGAACTACTATTTCATAAGTTTATGTCAATAACTTTGGTATCAAACTGTAGATTATAATTCAGATTTTAGTACTATATATTTCTCAATTTCTTAATTTAAAAGTAAATATTAAAAACACAGATAAACATTGATTTTTGTGTGACACGTGGTATGTTGAATGCAGCACTGGTTCAAAGTAGATGTTTGTGAAGTCAAAATACTAAGTATGTAGTTTCATACTAATTAGAAACTCAAATTATTGATATTGACAAGCTAGAATATAAAATAAGAGCCTCTTATCTTTTCAATTTGTTAAGATATTGCTCATTTTTGGAAATGCTCCCTTATATACACTTACTTCTATATATGAAATGAATAACCAATCAGAAGCTCGGGATGTACCCTTAATGGCTTTCTACGCCAATGTGATGGTCTTGGCACCATTTCTTTCTTTTGAACCAATATTTCAACGAGATAGGGTGTGTCTTTAGTCTACTCAAAATTTCATATTTTTTTAGACTAAAATACAGCTTAGTTACTAAGCTTGATAAATTATAGTGGAATTCTATGGTATTGATATAGTTATTTATGATTTTTTAGTTACTCAAATGAATATATAGAACCTAAAAAAATATTTTGTTTCATATCCTTCACGTGCAATGTTTTTAAAGGCTTTAGCAACCTACGTCAAGCAGCAACCGAGTGCAAGTGTCGTAACTAGAAGAGATAATTGTTTGCTTTACTTTTTCAGTTACTGTTCTGTGTTTTAAGAAAAATAAGTTTAAGAATTTATTTCAAAATAGTAATAATCTATATACATATATAATGTATAATAATGGAAATGTGACTGTATTTTACAAAACACTAGTCTAGTAAAACACAGCCAAGACAAGTTACTTTGTACAGACCAAAAGTCAGTTTTATGTTGTTTGATAAGGTAACATGAGTGCACGTGAGCTGCATCATTGTAACTTCTGTATAATAAATATATATATAAATGTATAATGTTATGAGATTTAAGGTATTTAGTCTAAACATTTGTGTTTTCATGTTATAATTTGTGATCATTCTACAGTGAAAGAGGCATAACTTATGTTTATTTCCTAATTTTTTATGGTGGTTGCGAGATCGTTCAAATCCACCAAAACTGTACAGAGATTAATTACTGAAAATAACAGATAAAATACAAAGTTTTTTTCTTAAGAAATGTTTGATAACTATACATTATAAAGATTTCGCATGTGAAATTTGAAAATTTTCTGATGCATAAAAGTATTTTTAATCATAAAATGAATATTATTTTGCATGATACATAGCAACATGTGAAAAGAAATAAAAAGACATGAGAAAAAAATTGCTTTACAAACCTTAAGACTTAGTAAGAAAAATTGTTATTTTACAAATGAAAGCATTGTAATGTTTACTGATAATCTGCCAAATTTCGTTAACATTCGCTTACTAATTTAAAAGTTGTAGCATGAAAGCTATAACAAGCACAATATGGTTATGAGGTCAGTCCCAGAGACAAGCCCATGCTGAAAAGAGTTAAGAGGTATGAGGCATTCATAGAAACATCATCAGCCAAAGTTGAATGGGTTCTATTGAAGAATATAATTGTGGTCAGTATATTGTAAGATTGGATGAATGGATTTTGACTAAACTTTATAAAAGATACTACAAAGTTTTAGACCTGGTTAACTTTTGAAGATCAAAGGTCAAGTTAAAGTTTGGGGCATAGGTGTTTCGTAAACATTGTATCATTGTTTATATCCTTTTGGTCTGTCCCAATCTTATGGACAGGATATCTTAACATTGGATGAATGGTTTTGATCACAGTTATAAAACTTAGTTTTATACCTAGTTAACTTTTGAAGATCTGAAGTCAAGGTAAAAGTGGAAGCATGGGTGTTTCATAAATACTGTTTGTGCTTGTTTGTGTTCTGCATTCTTTTTTTTTTTTACTTATAGAGTTCTTTTGAAACAAAGAAAAGAAGCGTCAATGTTATACTTTGTTTTATATTTGACCAACTTCTACATCTTCAGCTATTTCTTTCTTTCATCAGAATATCTTCCTTCAGAATAGCTACAAGAAGGAATACCCGTTGGCTGGGCCGAGATCACCTCTCACCCAATCAAACATTGATGATCTATCCCATTACTTTCCTTTATGTATGAATCACCTTCATTCTTTGCTGAGAAGGCATCACAGATTACGGCACACAGGAAGGGTGAGTGTCCTTCAACCATAGCTGTTTACTGTATATCGACCATTTATTTCAGACCAAGGACCATATGATTGTCCTTTACCATTTAGTTATTTTGGTAAGTTCTTTTTATGGTCTTACAAGGAGGTCAGTCATGAGTTCTAAACTAACTCATTATTTAGTACTACCAGAAGGTTTTTGCAAAGTTAAAAGTAGTTTAATCTTTTGAATTTTTTTTATAGGTATGAACTGCTTTTATTTTATTTTTATACATCAGGTGCTAGGTGAGTGTTCAGCAATTATATATGGACAAAATAAAAGTGAAATATATATACTGGTAGCTAGAATAATAATTTGTAAATTATTGAAAATTATTGTTATGCTTTATATCTCTTTATAATTTAATATATTCATTGTTTTCTACAATGAAAGTTAGATTAATTCTGTGAAAATTATTGGCAACACCCTTAAACACTTTTAACTTCAATGTGGTAGGGGGATCCCATAAAAGTGTTAACTAGCACCAAAAAATGAGGCATTCATTCCCTCTTGCTTGTGCCTTTCCTTCCAAAACTCAGCATGCATGTAGTTACATGTGATAAACATTTCTATTTCTTGTCCACATCCTTTGTACATCCATGACAAAGAAACATTCACCTAACTGATAACACACAGTTCACCTATCATAGAAACCAGAAAAATCTGGATACCCCTCTTTAAGGCATTCAGATAATCTAGTTGATTCAAGATTTAAAAGGGGGGAGACTCTATACAAGTAGACAGCACACCATTCAGATCAATTAGTTGATTCAAGTTTTAAAAGGGGGATACTCTATACAAGTAGATAGCACACCATTCAGATCAATTAGTTGATTCAAGTTTTAAAAGGGGGATACTCTGTACAAGTAGACAGCACACCATTCACATCAATTAGTTGATTCAAGTTTTAAAAGGGGGATACTCTGTACAAGTAGACAGCACACCATTCACATCAATTAGTTGATTCAAGTTTTAAAAGGGGGATACTCTATACAAGTAGACAGCACACCATTCAGATGAATTAATTGATTCAAGTTTTAAAAGGGGGGATACTCTATACAAGTAGATAGCATACCATTCAGATCAATTAGTTGATTCAAGTTTTAAAAGGGGGAGGAGACCCTATACAAATGGACAGCACACCATTCAGATCAATTAGTTGATTCAAGTTTTAAAAGGGGGGTACTCTATACAAGTAGATAGCACACCATTCAGATCAATTAGTTGATTCAAGTTTTAAAAGGGGGAGGAGACCCTATACAAATGGACAGCACACTACTGTTTTCAGTCAAGAAGACCTAGGATTGAATTCCAGCCACTACCACCTGTTTAGTTCAGATATATTTGATTAATTTATTTTGTGAGTGAATATTTTTGTTTAGTTTTTGTTATAATAAGTGTTAAAAGCAGATGATTGTAGGAAGTTGTATTTATAAGTCATTGATGTTGAGACTATCAAATGTCGTGTACAATACATTGATGTTGAGAATATAGAGATTTCTAGAAGGTGGGCAGATGATTAAGTGATAAACATATAAATAGTTGAGAAGAGTGGAAACAGCAGACAGACAATAGCAGAAGAGAATTAAGTTATAGGCAATGAAAAGTTTGGTGTGAAATGCCTAACGAAAAGGAGATAAGAATAATAATTTATTCCGTTAATGCGTGGTTCTAAAGTAATTGAATCAGACTGAGTGACTTTGACAAAAAGAACAGAGGATATTTTGAAAGAAGAAGACCAAACAATTACGGTAACTCATGCCACAATTATTAGTGAATCACACATGGAATACTAGTGCGATAGTAAAAGAGAAGATAGTTCGGCTTGTCAACTGAAATTCTAAAGTAATTGAGTAGGCCTAAGTGGACTTGACAAGAAGAAAAGAACTATATATCTAGTGTTTATGATATGCCTATAATCTCTATAGTGTGAATAATATGTTGTACGTATGTTTAACTTGTTCCGATATATATATATATTTGAAAACAGGTAAAGTGTGTGTGGTGTTTATTTATTTTTGAATTTATTGCTAGCAAGTCACAGATGCCTAATGTAGAAGAATCGTAAGCCCAACAACAACACAGTATATATATTTATTCTATTAAGAAGTTTAAGTAAAAGCCATTTATTTTGACAATTGGCAAAAAAACCTATATTTTAAAATCCTGACACCCCACATCAGGACTTTCTTGAAGATGTTAGCAGGTTAGGAGCTGAAACATAAGATATAAGCTAATTTATAATTAGTAGTTAATAATAATAAAAAATTTTAAGTGATTGATAATTAGATTTGTGATTGTTTAGGTTATTTAATATGACAGTGAAAATTATCAATTGCTTGATTAGACATTTTCTCAATTAATCTCTGACTGTACCTCATTGTTTAATTGCAATTGCAGGTAAAATAATTTATTACCTTTGTATAGTTGAAAAGTGTGGTTCTGCTGAACATGTTTTTCTTCATCATTTCAAGATTCAATACACACTGTACCTCAAAGAAATTGGACTTCCTGTAGAAGAGGCAATTAAATTTTGGGAAAAGGAATATTCACAGCCTCCAACTTGTGGACACAGCAGTTCATTGTCACGTACTGGATGCTCACATGAGTGGTCAAAGGATCATCGTCGTTATGTTTACAATGTTCGGCACCTGTATGGCTGTGAGGGTGGCAGAAAGGATTACTCCGCTCATTGCTGTGGGGCATTACAGACAAGATTAGTGGCTACCAGTGATGATGGAGGGTGTCCATTTGCTGGGTTTGACAAGTCGTATTTGCGGAGCATCTTGCTGCAGCGAGGGTTGAAGGTACATTTCAATTTTCATGGTTATGTGTAATCTTATATGTTTCTCTCATAAAATGAAAAGTAAAAACAGATGGACTTCAAACTGGAATTTTTTTTAAATATATCAGTTTCATTATAAGGTGTAAAAATTCCTAACTTTTTTCAGTTTGGAATTATACTAATCAATATTCTTCAAAGTACACAACTTGATAAAAAAAATAAGATCATAAAAATCAGCTAGTAATAATAAATAACTGGCTTTGTCATAAAAACATAAATCAGCTAATGAGAATCACCATCTGGCTATGTTATAAGAACATAAATAACATAATGTTTTGGGATAACATGGGACCTATGACAACCCCTCCATCTCAGGCACCATTCTAGTAACCCTTCTCTGAACCCTTTCCAACAATTCAATGTATTTTCTAAGGTAAGGAGCTCAAGACTGAACACAATACTCCAAATGTGGCCTAACTAATGATCTGCACAATGACATTATAACCTCTTTAGACTTGTATTCACTGTTTTTGTAGATACAATCTAAAATCCTATTTGTCCTACCACTAGCAACAGCACACTGCTTGGATGGCTTTAGAGACTGGTTGACTATTACACCAAGGTCCCTTTCTTTCATAACACTGTTAAGATTATTCCAATCCAAATTATACTTGTAATTCAAATTATGATAACCCACATGCATTATCTTGCATTTATTTGCCCAACTCACTAAATGATCTAAATCCTTTTGTAAATCAGCAGCATCCTCTTCACAGCTAGCAACACCCAAAACCTTAATATCATCTGCAAATGTAAGTAATTTATTAACTATTCCTTCATCTGTGTTAAATCAACATGAGCAAAGGTCCTAAGACTGAGCCCTGAGGTACCCCTCTTGTGACATTAATCCAGTTTGACTGAATTCCATTTGTAACAACCCTCTGCTTTCTTCCATCTAGCCACTCTTCTATCTAATTTGTTAACTTATCCCCCACACCTATAGAGATATTTTTTTACAAGCCTTTTATGTGGTACCTTGTCAAATTCTTTCTAAAAATCCAGATACACCAAATCTACACCCTTACCCTCATGTACATAAGCAGTAACCTTTTCAAAGAATGTTAAAAGATTTGTAAAGCAAGATTTCCCTAAGTAAAACCATGTTGACTATCCAATAAAATTCTAAACTTTGTGAAATGTCTTTGCAAAGCATCTTTTATCAGATTTTCCAAAACTTTCCCCACAACTGATGTAAGCCTTAATGGGTCTATAATTACTGGGACAA